AAGAACCACAGGGAGGAAGTAGAATAACTGATGGTACATGGTGGGGATTATAATCATTGAAATGAAATGCAGTATAAGATATGCTGAATGTAAAACTGATGATCTGCTCTGCAAACCTCCACTTAATTAATGATAAAAGGCTTTAAAAAAATTGTGATCACTGTGGGTTAGGTGCTGGACTGCTAACCACAAGGTTGGTGGTTCAAATCCACCAGCTGCTCCATAGGAGAAAGATGAGGTCATTTGCTTCCATAAAGATTTACAGTCTTGGAAAGCCTATATCACGTTGCTATGATACAGAACTGACTCAATGGCAGTGGTGTTGGTAGATTTTTCAGTGTTCTGAAATGGTTGTTTTTTAAATAATATTCTTCCAGTTTTAAACTTTTTTGCAGAGAAAAATACTGACCTCTTCACACTTCAAAGTCAGCAATGGCTAGGTGAGTCTTTCTCATGCTGCATCCCTCTGAGCTTGAATGTTCTGCCTCTCTCTTTCACGTACAGGACACTAGGTCCACCTGCGTAATCCAGAACAATCTCCCATCTCTAGGCCATTAACTTAACCGTATCTCCACAGACCTTTCTGTCATATAAAGTAACAGATTCACAGGTCCCAGGGATTAGGATACACACATCTTTGGGTGTTCATTATTCTGCCTACTACAAAGGGTTTTATAGATCTTTAACTGTATTGGTGGTGGTGGTGGTGGTGGTGGTGGTGGTGTGCCATGGAGTCGGTTCTGGCTCAAAGAGACCCAGTACAGGTTTTCCATGGCTATAAATAATTATAGGAGCAGAAAGCCTCATCTTTCTCCCACAGAGTGACTGGTATATTAGAACTGCTGACCTTGAGGTAAGCAGCCCAATTTGTAACCCACTATGCTACCAGGGTACTTTCAATTATAAGGATAAAGTTTTCTAAAATGATGTAATCCAGTTACACTCACATCAGCAACCTTTATTGCTCTACCTTTTTGCTAATACTTTGCATTATTGGTAGGCTAATTTTTGCCATTGTTTGGTTCTGTATATTATCTCCTAGGACAGTTGGGAAAGGAAGCTGAACCAAGTCCTTCCCCAAGTTAATTGATCATCTGGAATTAAGCTGCCCTTCCCTCTCTGGATTTTCAGGACCACTTGTGGTATGCAGGCCTCACCTACTAGACTCCTTGCATTTTTGATATCCCATCAGCCTACTGGTTGCCTAATGCATTCAATCTCATCTGGTACTAGATTTCTGAGTCCCACTGTGCCTGTTATACAAGTGTCTTCATGAAATTTCATTAATCAACTTAAATGGTGAGAAGAGAAACATGTAAAAGGGGCTTCAAAAAGTTTATGGAAAAATTCCATTATCTTTTACAGTTTCATTGTCCACAAACTTCTTGAAACTCCCTCACATATTTAGAGACAACAACAACAAAAAAAGTCACCAATTTCATACCAAGAAACCAACTGCTCCATTGATCATGAACTGGAATTTGGCTTATGAATTCGGGTACTAACAGGTCTTGCACCATGGGCAGGAAAAGCCCTTTGAGATGCAAACGCAAGGCTTCTCAGCTACAACAGAACTTTATTGATTTATTTTTTATTGTGAACTGAGTGATAGTTTACATGGGAGAACATCAGCTTTACACCATTTCATTGCAATGATTACAATCTCCTCTGTTCATCATCATTCAATAGTATTTGCTTCCATTCCCTCTGGGTTTTTTGTTTTTTGTTTTAGGGGAGCCGGGTTGAGTGGGGAGATGTACACAAATACACTCAGGAATATATAATAATTTAAACAACCAAAGGGCACATTCTGCAAGCCTGCCTCCTGGCTATCAGCATCCAGTCCCTCTCCTTCCCTGAGTCCAGAGTCTATAGCTGCTCCCTCTCTCTAGGTCCTCATCTCTGCCTCTCCATCTCTGGTGTCACTGCTTTTCTGGATAAGGTCCCACACTCTGCTTGTGCTCTTCTCTCTTGATGGTCCTAGGGTCCTCTACAACATAGCTTTTTAGTGTCAAACAGCATATAATGTGTTGACATGACTTTAAAAAAACATTTTGCCATGAAGAATGTCTGCACCATAGTCAATTTTTTTTCTCTTTAAAAGTGTTTTTTTAAAAAAAATATTTTATTGTGAATTATGTGAAAGTTTCCATGGGCAAACATTAGCTTTATATTCATCCTATCATATATCGTTTCATTACCATGGTTACAATCCCCTCCATGCATCATCAGCCAACCAAAGGGTATACCCTGCAAGCCTGCCCCCCAGTCATCAGCACACAGTTCCTCTCCCTTTCTGGGTTTAAAGTCCCCAGCTACTCCATCTCTCCACATCGTCGTCTCTGCCTCCATCTCAGGCATCACTACTTCTCTGGCTAGGGTCTCGCACTCTGCTCTTCTCCCTTGATGGTTCCAGGGACCTCAGGCTCCTGGACTGCAAAGTCAATCACTCCCCTCCTTTTACCATAGTCAATTTGATTTTGAAACCCACTCAAAGAATTGTCCACATTGGTACCTCTTGTAAACTTTACGGCATTGACTTTTGGATCTCACTTTTCAGGCAGAAGCAGAGAAACCAGAGGAGTGCTGGGATACTCCTCTCCAAAAGTATAATTTCACAAAACACAACTTCAGTTCTCCTTTGTGTAATGGAAATTTCCATCATGGGCATCATGCCCAGTGAACAACAGATAAAACAGATGTGCTTTTCCATTCTCAGGATGCTTCATGTTAAGCAGTTCAAAGACAGAAGAAGTATCATCTAGATGCTGAAATATCCCTATATATTGATATTGGGAAGATTATCTGCCCTGAGGGACGCTTAAAAATTAAAGTATCAGCAGAAATGCAGACAATCTATATTCAAAAAGTTTCACATTTAGCGGTTCAAAATAGCAAGGAAGCAGCAATGTTGGCCCAAACTCCTTCACTGTGTCTGTCAGCCCAGAAGGTAAAGATGTTCATCATCAGATCAGAGAAGCCAGGAGTCCATTTCTGATGACATCAGGATGGTCAGAGTGGTCTCAGCCACTGAGAGAGTCCCCAGGGGATACAGTCTTCTCAGAGACCCTCCCACAGAAGTAGCCAGGGGCTTGCACCAAGGTGGCAATAAATGAGAATGAGGGCTTGGTCTTTGTTGACTAAAGTTGATAACTGTAGAGGTCTGGATTGAGTCATGAAGCAGGGACCCAAGCACTTTCTTCACAAGCCATCTCTCTCCACTGGTTTTCTTCTCTGGTTTTCTAAATAATGGCATTTCCATAGATTCCGTCTTTAATTTTCTTCCTTTCTCTACAAGCTTTTCTGCTGTTACATCCTCTCCTGGTTCATTAGCTATCACCATTAAGTGGAAGATTCCCAATTAGATAACCACATTCCTGATGTTTTCCTGAACCATCACCATCTTCATTAAACCTTCCCTCACCCCAGAGAGAAGTAATCTCGCCTCCTTAATTCCCACATCCTCTTCGCTACTGTACCTCTTTCACAGCAGTTATCATAATGGTCATTCCATTTAGGTGACTGAGGGGAATCTGGCTTCTCCTGACTGTTAAGTGCCTCGTGGTCAGGGACTGCCTCACTGCTCTTGGTATATCATGGGCCAACAGACCCATTATAGACAGAGAAGTCATCCCCCTATGTGGAAGTGTGTGTGGAAAAGCTCAGAGCAGAGCACCAATTGGGGCCTGTAAGCACACCGCTCCTATTTCTCCACTTGCCTCTAAACAGAAGGGCAACCCAAAAACCTAATCCACTGCCATAAAGGCAATTCTGACCCGAAGTGATTTTTTTTATAGGGTTTCTGAGAATGTAAATCTTTAAGGGAACAGATAGCCTCATCGTTCTCCTTTGGAGGAGTTGGTGAGTTTGAACGGCAGACCTTGCAGTTAGCAGTGTAATAATACCGAACCCAGGATGCTACCAGGGCTCCATAACAGCTAAGAAGGTGCAAGGAAAAGAACCCATGAACAACAGCTTCAATGTGCCAATCCAATGTCAATAGAAAATGATTTGCAATACAAGTACGTCTCACCAGCGCTAGTAAAATGGAACATCTCAGTCAGTAAGTGGAAGGAAATAAAAGTCCGTACCAAGACTACCAAGAAAAATGTGCCTCCTTGTTGGAAGAGGTTATTGAAAGTTCCAAGGGCTGCCAAAGAACCAACAAATCTGTGTTGGAAGAAGTGCAGCCAGAATGCTCCTCGGAGGCCAGGATGGCCAAACTTCATCTCTCATACTTTGGACATATAGTCAGGAGGGATCAGTCACTGGGGAAGGATATCATGTTTGGTAAAGTGGAGGGTGAGAGAAAAAGAGGAAGACCCCTAGCAAGATGGATTAGCCAAGTGGCAGCATCAATGGACTCAAGCATGGCAACAGTAGTGAGGCTGGCCCAGGATTGGGCGGTGTTTCATTCTGCTGTGTATAAGGTCGCTATGAGTCGGTACTGACTAGATGGCACCTAACAACACCAATAACACAAACATATACACACACACAAAGACACACTACAAGAGCGCACATGAGCTGAAATATTTTGTTCTGTTGGTATTTTATTCCAAACTCCCCAAACAAGCTGATCTGTCAGGGGTAGATGGCAATTCTGTTTAGGGCACATCTGCCTGCATCATCGTCATGACTGGCTAGGAGGCAGCCCTCTGCTCAGGGACAGAACCACCAGGGAATGTAGACACAAGGGGCCATCTATCTGCAGCAGCACCACTGTTCGCCTCTTCGCCACAACATCTGTTTGGACCCTGATCACTGCATATGTGCCATGTGAGGTTTCATATTCCCACAGCTGTGTGCTGTGCAGTTCACAAAGGATCCTGAGTACTAAGCAGCTGCTTCCAGTCCCACCTTCGCCTAGCAAATGGCAAAGATGGCTTCAGAATAAGACTCTTCCCACTGCACACAATAGGAGCCCTTCCCTGGGCCCTGAACAGGATCTTACCCTCTGATCACAAATCAGGGAACAAGCCCAAAAAAGAGTCAGGTACCTTCGGGCCGTGGTTTTGGCTTTTCCAAACCTCCATCTTGCATGAGCTCAAAGGCAAATGAGACATTTAAGACCTGGAAAGAGAAGAGAGACATACAGTGGCTACATTACTGAGTACTCAATCCCTAAGCCCTAGGGGTTTCCCGACGGTGAGTTCAGAGGAGGCCCTACTTGAAGGGGAAATGGGGCTACTGAAATGGGCGGGCCATGTGGAGTATGAGCTTGCTGATCCCAGCCTCCCAATGATGAAATGCTCCTGGAGACGTTCAAGATCCTCTTCCTTGCCCCCTTTCAACCCAGGAATGACAGTGCATACACATGAAAATCACAAGACATGTGTAAGAGACAGCACAGGGTCTTTGCTTCAGACAAAGTTCCTGGTTCAGGGAGCAGGCTGAGACAGTCTATGAGAGGTCACTGTGGCTTGGTGGGGTGTGGACCTGACCTGCCATGCAACCACCTTCCCTTCCACCTTAGCTGAGAGATGAGTCTGGGCGATGGTAGTTGACAAGAGCATAGGGCTAGCACTGCAGCAGGAGGGAAAGGCTGCTCAGGATGCCTTGTGGTATGGGCCAGCTCGGCAGCTCAACATAACGGGCACCCACCTCCAGTCACTGAAGACTCAGGTCAGAGGGGAAGCTGCCGCCCTTCTCCCAGATAGTCCTAGGTAGGTGTGGTAGATGAGTCAGGGGATGTGGCTAGGGCCCTCCCTTGACATACTCTCCCCTTACCTTCTGCTCAAAGCTATCCGGGGTCAGGAAGAAGCTGTGCAGGGGCACAAAGTAGCCCTCTAGGAGGCCCATGAGCAGCACCAGGTACACTCCATCTGCAAACTGGATAGAGAGCTGGGTGAAGGCACTGGCTTCCCTGTTACCCTGCCCAGGCAGTGGATGGTGGGAATGGGGACAGTGGCCAAGCAGAGTAGTTTACTCTGCAACAAGCCACCCCAGGTCTGGCTGGCCTCAGACAAGAGCCACAAGCCCACAGTCCTGATCTCGGTTGATTCAGCATTCAGTGATTACTGACTGTACCAAGTCAGGACCATGTGACAAGTTGCAGAGACTACGAGACGTTGGGAAATGGGGGGTTCTGGCCTCGAGAAGCTCGCAGTCCAGTGTAGAGGCTAGTGTGGAGGGTGGAGGCAACATGGTCATTGCTCTGATGGATGGAAATGTGTTGGGCTGAGTGAGGACTGACCAAGGTCAGCCAGTCTTACAAGTCCATGTAAGGCATGTCTAAATGGAGAACTGAGGGGTGAGCAGGAGCTAAGGTAGACTAGAGGGTCTGAGGCAAATAGCCTGAGGTTAATTGAGGCGACTTTGCTTTTTGAACAGAGAGGAAGAATTCTAGAGTCATACAGGCCTGGACATTTCCCTTTCTCAAATTTTACTTACTTATGGCTTCAGTAGAGGTTACAAGCATGGGCTCTGAGTTCAAATCTACCCATTAGCTGTGTGAGTCAGGCAGTTATGTAACTTCTCTGTGCCTTAGGTGTTTGACCTGTAAAATGGGTTTGATGATAATATAATATCATTTCAGCATTCCACCAGGGCTGAATTAGTTGGCATGTGTAACATGCCTAGATGTTGTTATTAAGGGCCAGTGAACCAGTTCCCACTCATAGCGACCCTGTCATAAGGGTTTTCGAGGAGAGGCTGATGGGTTTGAACCGTCACCCATATGATTAGCAGGACAATATTTATCCTAGAGCACCACACCAGGACACTAAAAGTACCTAGTGAAGTTGTTGTTGTTGTT